GTGAGTGAGTGAGTGAGTGAGTGAGTGAGTGAGTGAGTGAGTGAGTGAGTGAGTGAGTGAGTGTGTGTGTGTGTGTGTGAGAGAGTGTGTGTGAGTCTCTTACTGCACATGGCTCTGCTGGGATTGACCTGTTGTCCCGTGAGGAACTGCTGGAGTTTCCTGATGTCCACTCGTGCTTCAGTCATGAGATCCAGATCTCTGTGAGTCGGACTGGAGCTCTGAGAGCCGTCATCACCTGAGAGAGAAATCACACCACACAGTTTTTATTATACTTTTGAATTTGTTTTTATTTTTACATTTTCTGTTCTTTTGCTTTTTTGTTAGAATTTGTAATTTTGTAATTATTTAAATATGTCTATATTTTTTATTGTAGAATATTTTTATATTTAAATGAGTAAAGTTGCCTTTGCAACTAGCTGAAATAAAATAAAAGTATATATATACAGTATATACATACAGTATTTTACAATTAATGTGCTAACGTTTATTTTAAAGTAATGATATTTATTGCTTTTATTTTTAGTTAAAAATAAAACCCCCAATCTAAAGGTATCAAAAGTACTGGTTAAGACGCTGATGTTTTTTCTCTCCGCTCAGATAAACAGCTGTGTAAGTGTAAAGGCTCTCTCACCCCACGGAGGGTTTCCCAGCTCCTTAAAGTGTGTTGTGACAGAAACCAGGTCTGTGTCGATCTTGAGGTTCATCTCGCCGTTCAGATTAGCCTCCAGCACCTGAAACACAAACGCCATCAAAGCCCTCTACAGAACATCCATTTCTCTTTTCTCCCATTCACCATAAACTCACCAGATAGTTGGAGAGGTTCTTCATGCGGTCCAAAACGCTCTTCATGGTTTTCAGAGGAGGTAAATATATGCTGACCTAAGCATCACACAGTCATTCCATTATTAATGCTGTAGAGGGTCGTAAACGGTCACTCGTATAACGACTCACATCAAAGTCTGGCATCTGCGGCTCTCTGAAATCGTGCCAGAGTCGTCGGGGAATCACGTCCACCGGGATATCATGAGTGACCACACGACTGACGCTGGACAGAGACGGCTGGAGACACGCGTGTGATGATCAAACACAGTTCTGCTACATAGACACTACAATAAAACATGCCTTTACAGTTAGCTAAAACTACAACCATAAAGCTGTTATCTTAAATAAAATGAAAATACTGAAATAAAATGAAAAAAAAAATAAAATTTTTCACATTTATTTCAAAATGTAGTATTTTCATTTACTTTAACTTGACGTAGTAAAAAACTGAATTTTTTTATTTATTTAACATTTTTTTAAAATCTTAAAAAAAAGCTATAAAAATGGTAAAAACAACAAAATGAAAATGAAAAAGAAAACAAAACATTTCAAAATTAAAATAAAAAATATAAAAACACAGATCAGAATTACTAAAGGTATTAATTTCTAAAGTTCTGTTCTAATCTTTGCTGTTTTCTTCTCACCAGCTCCGCGGCCAGCGTGAGACACGGGCAGCTCTTCTTGGTCAGCTTGATTTTGACAGATTTGGCGTTCTGGGCTGTTTTTAAGGCCCTGGAAAGATTCTCCGGAGCCACTTCCAGAAAGATCTCGTTGGCGTCGGCAGACACTCCCTCCAACTGGAACTCATCGAAGAAATTCCCCTGAAACACAGAAGCATTCACAGCGGCTCCAAAAGCCTGAGACCTACACCGCATCACTTTCTTTTCTAATGCATTTTTCATTCAAGTGAAGAGTTGAACTGAAACATGAGGATGAGTGTGAGAATGTCTGACACTCATGAACTGACTCAGAAATAGAGGTCTATGCTTCATATGAACTCCTGGTGTGTCGCTGAGATGTGAGTGTGTGATTGGGATCTCACCTGTGAGAGTTCACACCACATACTGACTCCTCCGGTAGCGACGCGGCCTGACAGAACGAAGTACAGGTGATCACAGGTGAGGCGCAGAACACACGCCTTCGTCAGCCTGGACACAGTGTTCACCACACCTGCAGAGACCAGCACAGACCACATCAGACCACACCAGAGCAGACCAGACCCCATCAGACCAGCACAGACCCCATCAGAGCAGACCAGATCACATCAGACCAGACCAGACTAGACCAGACCCCATCAGACCACACCAGAGCAGACCAGACCACATCAGACCAGCACAGACCACATCAGACCCCATCAGACCACACCAGAGCAGACCAGACCACATCAGACCAGCACAGACCACACCAGACCCCATCAGACCACACCAGAGCAGACCAGACCACATCAGACCAGCACAGACCACACCAGACCCCATCAGACCACACCAGAGCAGACCAGACCACATCAGACCAGCACAGACCACACCAGACCCCATCAGACCACACCAGAGCAGACCAGACCCCATCAGACCAGCACAGACCCCATCAGAGCAGACCAGATCACATCACATCAGACCAGCACAGACCACACCAGACCCCATCAGACCACACCAGAGCAGACCAGACCCCATCAGACCAGCACAGACCCCATCAGAGCAGACCAGATCACATCAGACCAGCACAGACCACACCAGACCCCATCAGACCACACCAGAGCAGACCAGACCCCATCAGACCAGCACAGACCCCATCAGAGCAGACCAGATCACATCAGACCAGCACAGACCACACCAGACCCCATCAGACCACACCAGAGCAGACCAGACCCCATCAGACCAGCACAGACCCCATCAGAGCAGACCAGATCACATCACATCAGACCAGCACAGACCACACCAGACCCCATCAGACCACACCAGAGCAGACCAGACCCCATCAGACCAGCACAGACCCCATCAGAGCAGACCAGATCACATCAGACCAGCACAGACCACACCAGACCCCATCAGACCACACCAGAGCAGACCAGACCCCATCAGACCAGCACAGACCCCATCAGAGCAGACCAGATCACATCAGACCAGCACAGACCACACCAGACCCCATCAGACCACACCAGAGCAGACCAGACCCCATCAGACCAGCACAGACCCCATCAGAGCAGACCAGATCACATCAGACCAGCACAGACCACACCAGACCCCATCAGACCACACCAGAGCAGACCAGACCCCATCAGACCAGCACAGACCCCATCAGAGCAGACCAGATCACATCAGACCAGCACAGACCACACCAGACCCCATCAGACCACACCAGAGCAGACCAGACCCCATCAGACCAGCACAGACCCCATCAGCGCAGACCAGATCACATCACATCAGACCAGCACAGACCACACCAGACCCCATCAGACCACACCAGAGCAGACCAGATCACATCAGACCAGCACAGACCACACCAGACCCCATCAGACCACACCAGAGCAGACCAGACCCCATCAGACCACACCAGACCAGACCACATCAGACCAGATCAGCACATAAACCAGAACAACACACATCAGACCGATACAACGCAAAAAAGACGCTCGTTATGATTAAAATCAAATACGTAAGTCAGATTTAAAAAGTTAAAGTCTCAAACTCATTAAACACAAAGCACAGAAAATCAGTGGATAAACTGACACACTGAGATACAGTATATTCATCTCTATAATAACAGAAAGAAATCAAGAATAAACATGTTTAAACCCACGTGTGAAGTGATTCAAACATCCGACATCGATGATTTTGGCTCGAAACTTCATTCTGCGGCAGTAAATGTGTTATTTAGATACTCTGCGAAGTCTTCTCCGGGTTTTGTTGACATTCACGTGTGTTTTCGCGCCAGCGGTCCAGCAGAAACAGCTTCCGGCTGGAAACACACGCCTCGTGTTTACAGTTCCGCTGTGCTTCCTGCCGCCGCACGGTGGCGCTCTGAGTAAAGCAAATATTTTAACAAATATGAATATTGTATTATTTTTATTCAGATAAAATACACCTTGTTTTTATACAAAAGACAGTATATTCGTTTATTAATCCTTTATCAGAATATTTTATTTACTGTGGTTAATAATTATTAGATGATGTAGTAAATAATCCAGATTTATTGCTTCAGTGATGACGACAACCTAATTTTTCACTGTTTATATTAAACATATCACAGTAAGAGAGTATTAATGATGATGTTTAATCTTTAAGATGTTTTTATTAAGCTGTTCTCGTGTGTGTGTGTGTGTGTCAACTAACAGCCCACAGACACACGCGATCATGAAGTAGGAGGAGAGAGAGAGAGGCTCTGAGGTCCGCATCGCTCCTCTCGCGCTCCGCTGATGGACTCGTGATGATGAAGAGGATGATGAAGAGGATGTTCAGTGCTCCGGGATCACTGCATCAGCCGCTGCTTGTGTCGGATGAACCGGATCGATGTGTTTGATCGGATATGAAATGAATGATGAATGTGTTCAGAGATCTGAGCTGATTGATTCAAACTCGCTTCTTCATCATGGATCCGAATCTTCTCACACTCTTCAAACTTTCTCTGATCTTCGGTGAGTGTATTCATCTCTCTGTGCCAGTTGATTTTTTCAAACGCTTTCGTGTTTTTGTACGAGTGCGAGTCGTCATAAATAACGATAAATAAATGTGTGTGTTTGAGAAAGAGTCTCTGTGTGTGAGTGTGTGTGTGTGTGTGTGTGTGTGAGAGAGAGATCAGCAGATTCACACACAGATCTGAATTGAACTCACTCAGAATCAGCGTCACTGTACAGTGAGAATGTACAGTAGTTCTTTCTGACCCTGATGTCCATTACTTTAAATTGGAATTTAACATTTAGTGTGATGTCATAATATTATAATTATTATATATTATTATTATTACTACTACTACTATTATTACTACTATTATTATTATTATTAAGGCTACATAAATGAATCATGGCTGTACTTCTGGAACATTTACCTTTATGTTTTTATTGCAGTTGTCAGATGTGTAATCCACACCATTAACAGATCAGATTGGAAATGAGTAAATGATTATTTTTAAAGTAAAAAGAAGCATACAGATTTTCTTTGTGGTTTAATAATTTATGCATCAAAGGTTTATAATGAGTTTTACCAGTGAAACTGCAGCTCATGATTCGCTTTAGATCAGTGTGATAACAGGCCCGGCGCCAGGACGCACGACTTGGAGGGGCTTTTATAT